TTAATACCCAGGTCCCCTTGTTCCCCGCAGCTCTCCCCGGCCAGAGGAGGACAACCACTGCGGCCAACAGCCCTGGGGGAGGCCATGGAGTTTCTCCTTCCAACACGAAACACCTATCTCTGCTGGCACCATCCCCAAGCTCTGCCAGCCAGTCGGGCAGCAAGTGGCAGGGACAGGGGCTGCTTCAGCCAGGAAAATGTCCTGGGTTAATGTTTGCTGAGTGACCTTCCCTCAAGGCAATGCCCGTGTGCTAAGGCACCGCCCTCAGGGCCCACTCTGTTCACACCAGTTTTCCTACACAAAGAATGGTCTTCGTGACAAAGCCCAGAGGCAGAAAAATCACAAGAGTCCTAAAAGACACATTTCAGTTTTCAAGTTTTTGTTGTTTTGTTTTTCCTCCAAAGCTGTTGGAAATCTGAGTTGTATGAAACAAGCTCTGGCCACCCCACCCATGTCAGCCCCAACAGCATGAAAACTTCTGGCCCCACACGGAGCGTCCCCCACCCCCCGCTGTCGCCCTGCACAGATGTTTCCTTTCGGAGTCACTGGCCCTGTGTCAGCAGAAATGTGGCCTGCCTATGGCGGCAGAGGGCTTTCCAGGCTCTCTTCAAAGGTAAGAGCATCTGGGGTGCATGTCTCCAAGAATACTGCGAGGGCAGTCTCAGCGCTTAGCCAAAGCCAAAGGGCCTATGACCTTGACCTCCACGACCCCATTAGGAAAAGTCATTTGTTCCTTTTCAAACCTTGTCAGCCTGGTGCTCTGTCACTCATTCAAGTTCTATGGTCTTGTGGTTAGGTCTCTTCCATCTTTCGGTGAGCTTGGACTTCTGGTCTGTGAACTTCACGTGGGCTCCTCAGTCCAGCTGCCCCTAGGTGGGTCAGGATGGCTGGAGTGGGCTGGAGTTGCGATATTTCCCTTCCTCCATGTCCGTTAGGTTCTGATAAAACCCCAGCAGGGTAGGCTCTGGGGACAGTTTCTCCTGAGGGCAGGCCTTGTGAAAAAGAACAAAGCTGGTGTATTTCAAGATGGTTCCTTTTTCCCTCTTCCTGCCCCGGAAGTGCAAGACGGTTTTTCTCTGAAATTCACTGTGAGAACCAGGCTGAGCCCCTGGAAATAAAATGCACAAAAGTGTGGGGCCCCTGACGACAAGGTTCCCCTGGAGTTTGCAGCTCCCAGAGTCGTGCTCACCGAGCCTGTAGCAGTTCATCAGTTACAGTCCAGGCTTCTTTCTCCTGGTTCCCCCGCAGGTTTCCGTGGGTTTCCGCTCCAGCAAGTTGTGGTCTCTGAATTTGCCTGTTGGTGTCTCCCATCTGGGCAGCAGTGGCTGGCCCTATGACCCCACCTCTCTCTGTCTAATAAGAGTCGCGGCTTTTTAAGTTTGTTCAGTTCTAGCACCTCCCCCTCAATGACTTCAGGTGATTGCCAGGTCCAAACTTCAGGGGGCTCGCCCAGCAGCAAATGGGGAGCAATTGCAGACCTCCTTGCCAGGACATTAACCCTCCTTTCCAGCCATGGCCCAGGTCCCACACCCCCGAGGTCACTCCCATCTCCACCCCCCGGTACATGCCGAGCCAGGTCTTATGAGGAACCTAGTTCTTACCACAGCAGGGACTTCCCAGCTCGGGCTGCTGTAGTCGGACCCTAGTCCTTGGTCTAGGGGTGGGGGCTTCTTCTGCCTGCCCAAAGCACTCAGGGGAACAGGGGGACCAAGACCCTGTCTTTATCCCAGGTATGTCCCTTTCTTTCCTGATGAAAGCCCTGATTTTGGCAAAGGAAACCTGCCAACAATGTGCCTTCAGTCTCCTTTGCAGCTCTACCCTCCTCCACAAGCAGGCCAGCACATTCCACCCTGTAGTTGCAGATCTTTATTTATTTATTATTTATTTTTATTTATTTATTTGTTTGTTTGTTTGCTTATTATTTATTTATTTATAGCTGAGCCATCCTGATACCTGTTGGCAGCTCAGCTAGGGCAGTGAATGGAACTGGCGACCCTGTTGCTCAGCTCACACTCTTGAGCAAGCTCTTAACCAACTGAGCCACTCGGCTGGCCGCAGATCTTACTTTAAACTGTGCTGAGAAGGTCTCCTGGTTTTTATAGCATACCACAAGGTAATAGTTGGATGATGGGCCTGCCATTTTTTTCAAGGCTTTTCATAGCACTCAACAATTGTTATAATTACCACTGATCTCATACTACTGTGTGGCAGGGCTTTTGTATAACCCAACGCTTCACCCTCCTCCTGTACCCCATCTCAACCCACCACAGGCAAATCTTGGTAATGACGATGCTATAGCATGTCCTGGCTTATCACCAACTCACAGGGCCTCTGCTGCCATCTGCCAATGATGGACCCAGTTCCCAAATCCCATTCTAAGGCCACGTCTAGGGCCCCCAAGATAAAGCCTGATACAAGGATCCATGTTCCTACTTTATCGGGGAGGTGGTCCCACGGAGAGCAGGAGGGAAGGGATGGGGCGAGTGAAACAGGGCGGAAAAGAGCTGACGGCAGTCATGAGCGCTAAGGCGTGGTCCCGCCAGCACGTTTTGACAAGTGGATGAAATTCTCTCAGAACTGTCCACCCAAGGATCCAACGAAGAACCGTTCCTCCACTGGCTCCTGCCCCCCAGGGATTGCGGGTTAGCTCAGGAGGCGTTCAGGCCCTGCCACTTCCGGGCTGCACATCCTTTGAAGCCAAGTGGGCCCCCGCCAGTGTCCCGTGACTGTGTCAGAGGAGCCTAAGAGCAGGAAGCCAAACGCGACGGGCAGCACCGGAAGCAAGACTAACACGAGGCGAATCGAAGCCTGTCCTGCAGCTGTGCTTGGCCAGGGGCATCCTGACACGTGAGGCTGTATCGAACCATCTTCCCCCCAACCGGCACTTATCCTATGGCCATTCTTGGCGGGGGTGGAAATAATACTGGGATAAACTTCTTTATATTTCATGTTTTCACTCCCCTGCATCTCTTATTTGCTGGGGTTCCATTCCCAGAAGCGGAAATACTAGGTCAAAGGCAATGCACATTTTTCTTTGCACATTTTTCAAGGCTTTTAACATGCACTGCCAGGTTATTTCCCAAAAGTTTGGAATAGCATAGACTTATGCTGTTGGCAGTTTATCTGTGAGACCACTGCCTCGGTCAGCAATATGCAAATGACTGTTAATATTCTCAATTCGTGTGTCTTACAGGCTTGACTGTACGTGATTTGGGAGACCAAGGAATCACAAATACAAGGAAACAAATTTGAATATTCCACGTTGCACTCTCCCCTCCCCCGAGCTCTTAATTGCCTTTTGGCTGACTCCAGTGTTCCCTCCCTTCCCTCCCTGATGTTTATTTAATGGCCACTAACGACAGCTCTGGACAGCTCTGGTCATCGGATGAAGCGTGGGTTTCTCCAGGGCAGTCTTTTCCCAAGCCTTTGCCTTCAGCTGTTTTTTTCTTATTCTGAGAGCTGCAGTTATCAGATATTTCCAAGAAACGCCTCTCTTGGTGAGGCCTTGCTCATGTGGTGTTCTGTTTCATTTGTGATGCACACTTTTTCCAGGTAAGGGTGGCCGTGAGGGAAAGGTGTGGGGTAGCAGACAGATGTTACCATGCCCCCTCCCTCTAGCTTCCCTGTAACTGCTTAGCCAGTCAGCCTAGCTGAGACGCTGTCATACAACTGGCCTGGCCACACCTCGACCCTGTGCGTCATCTGTCTGATGTCCTAAATCATTAAGACCAAAGGCTTCTGAACTTTATTCAGACTCTCGCTGCATCTTGACCCCTGTCAGCATTCCAGGACAGGCAAACAGGAACAGGGAGGAGGGACAGGCTGGCTTCTGTGTCGTCGGGAGTACTGTCATGGCGCCTGTAGGAAGGACCACTGGGAAAACATGAAAAAATACTGAAAACCCAGGCTGTATTCTCAACGGGGCAGCAGCTCCAAGTCCAAGTCTAGGAGCTGCTTCTCTCCACAGGGATGGACCTGGCCGTGCCGGGAAGAGGTGCCCATGCCAGGACATTGGGAGCCAGTCTGCAGGGGCTTCAGCTCACGTTACGTTCTTTCCATTAGGCAATAAATTCCTAACTCCTTCCCCTGTCTGTCTAACTGTAATGCAGAGAGCAAATGCCACAGCTGAAACACTCTCCCTGGTGAAGCAGCTCCTTTTCCAGGGTTCTTTATGGTTGACCGGGGAGGCTCGGGGCCCCTGGAGAAAAACAAACACTGCTCAGCCCAGGAACGGCCATGATTCCAACAGCCTGCACTCTCAGCAGAACATGGGCTTAAGGGAAGAGCCTTGTGGGGCCACTGAGAATGGCCTTCCCTCTGTCCCCAGGGTATGAAGGCAGGCTGAGTAATCAAATGACAACATCTGTAAAGCAGCCTTCTTAATGTTGACAAAACAAGAAAACTTACAAAACACCAGGGAGTGGTTATAAAACACAAAGCAATTTCAAAACAAGAGTGAAAAGAAAGGTTGGCTAAGGACCAAAGCGGCCCTAGGGAGCTTGGCCTGGATCTCTCAGAGGGCAGGGAGTGAGGACTGGGCTTCCCTGGACTCGGGGAGGCTAGGCAGCCCCGCAGAGGCCCTGGGTGTGTACCGGGCAGAGCACGTCCTCCTTTCTCCTCCCCTAGAAGCAACAAGTACACAAGAGAAACGCACCTTTGTGTGTGCGCGTAATTCTTATACTGAAAGCTCTGCAGAAAAAAAAAACTTTCACAAAAAACGTATCATAAGCATTTCCTTTAAACCATGTTTCTGGTCGGTCCCTATTCCAATGTGCTTGTGGTTGTTTTGAATTCCTGCAGCAGGAGATAAATGGACCTTCCCTGGGAAGGTCCAC